TACATTCTCTAACCTCATCATTACCTTTATATGATTTTACACCACCAGCGTTTCTTATTGTTTTTGTAGGAAAGCATTGTTCAAACAGTATAGAGAAAAGATTCATAAAAGAATTCCACTCTTGATTGACATCACCAGTTTCTGTCATAATTACATCCTCCCACTTTTATTCTTTTGGACAGTTTATAAAAGTTTGCTTATTTTTTTTCTGGAAAGATTTTTTTAAAATGAGTCGTATGTTGTTTAAAATTCTCTAAAGATAATGTAATTTTCTAAGCAGTATACTGAGCAAATACTAGAGTGTTTCCGTATTCACAATTCACAAAGATGTTGTCAATACAGCTTGCTGTATGTGACGTTACCCTTGTGTTTTCAAAAACCGTAGGCAAAAAGTTAAATGGAGAAATTAGTGAAGTTAAGTTTAATTTGTGTTCATTTTCTCTAAGCATGTCTATGTTAAAATCCTCCGCTATAACAATTTTTCTATTTTCCTTAAAAATATCTAAGAGTACCTTTTCTAAGTAATATAGGAAGACGTCTATAGTTTCTGATGGATTTCTGTAAATTAACAAAACTATTAATCGATCTTTCTTAAATGTGCACTCTACTTCTGCACTCAAAAACTTTTTTTATTGATAATTCACTTAGGTTATTTCTCGGTTATGTTCTCCATGGTCTCGACAAAAGGCACTTACTAGGTCAAAGTCTTTTATCACTTAATTCTTCCTGAGTTTTCTAGTGTTCTATTACGCACAATAATTTACATGAAAAGTTATTTTGAAGCATATTCTTTATGCTGTCCACCGCGTCCCCTAACGATCGGACGTTTTGATAAATGATGGAGCATTCATCTGCAGGGTGTCTACCTTTATCAAATAAAGTATTTTTAACACACTCGTTTAACCGACAACCTGTACTCACTATTTTAGTCCCTTTTATAAAAAATCCTTATAATTAATATTATTTCTAAATGCTTTTAACCTACTTCTATATGCCGAGAAATGTTTGTCGCTGGCAGAGTGGTTCAAATCATCTAGCTTTAACTTTATGCCGTTTGAACATTTTAAAACATTTTCAGTACAATCTACCGCTTTGTGTTCCTTTCCACATTTGTGACAACATTCTTTCTCAGACCAATATTTAGTTACATGACCAAATCCACAGCATTTGAAACATTCTGCCAAATTATAGTGTTTTTGTACGTAAACCATTACCAGATCGAAAAATATTTTCCCTTTTTTCAAAAACCGTTTTGAAATGGCTGGCGGTGCTTGAAGAATAAAGTTTTCCTTAGTCGGATTGCGACACTGCTTTTTCGCTATTACTTGAATTTTGTCACATATATTATAACCAAGTCGCGGAACAATTTCGTTGCTCAGTCTTTCTAATTCCTCAAGAAAGTCTTCATTTGAAAAGCCCTCTTAAATTCCAGTTGCCATAAACTTCTTAATTTTCAGATGTTCTTTTTCTTGTATGGAAGCTGATCTTTGTCAAAACTTTCCACAATAATAATGCCGCTTTTGGTTTGCTTGACACTTTTAAAACCTTTTCCAACATTCGTATTATTTATCTCGTTTTTAAACTGTTTGAGGGCTTCTTTTGGATCTGTGACATTTTGGACACTAATAATCGTTTCGTGCCTCTTGTAAGTTGTTGGCGTTACCCACGATTCACTTTTTTTGTTCTTTTGCTATTCTGAAAAGGTATTTTTCTTTAATTCATTATCCATCTCTTCTTCTTGGTTAATCATTTTTTACGTCTTACTAACCAAGTCATTTAAAACCAACTGACTTTTAAGCTTCACATTCTCGTTTTCTATACAACCATTGTTAAACACTATTACGGTAAGGAGTTTATGGATGTTATTATGTGCTTCTTTTAAACGTTCCTGATCATCCTTAGAGAACATTCCTACTGTTTTATCTGCCAATTCGTTAATTGTTGTCAAACATTTTCTGAATGAGATTTTCGGAGAAATCCAGTTTTGGTTAGTTCCATTTTCATTAGGTCCCCCTTGTCTTTTTTTATGATTTTCCTCCACTTCTGCACTTACTTCTGACCTCAATCTCTTATTAGAAAATTGTTTTGTATTCACCTGATCTTGTGTGTACTATTTTTGGAGGTGTACGCAGCACATTATGTTTTGGCTTAAAAATATCAATGTTTTCAAATTCATTAATAGCACCTGATGATTTAGTTGCACCCTGTATAATTTGTGAAGAAACGTCATATCATATTTTTATTGACTTGATCATCCTTATCAGAATCAACCATTTTTTGTTCACGTTTATCTACTGTTTTTTCTGTTTTATATTTATTTATGTACGTTCTTATCTCCTCCTCCTCCTGTCTACATCTAGATATTCACTTTTATTTATTTCTTGGGTGGTCAGGGATCCAACAGAAAAATGCCTTGTTTTTGGTTTCCCTTTAAATTTACTTCTTCTGCCATCACTAGTACTGCTTATGACAATGTTTGTATTTCACCGCACCAAAAATGAAAATTACTTTACACTATACCACTGGGAAAATTGGAAAATATACCGATACCGATAACAATAATGTTTACAGTTTATATTGTACAAATTTACTTTTACTTCTTATAACACCTGCTACATTTCTATTGCCTGTTGTTCATTAGGCTAGACTGTGCTGTAAATAATTTTTTTGGCCGACGACTCGCAACCACTTTGCGTTGTCTCACTAATGCACAGAACTTTTAAGAGGTCTTCCTACTGCTTGAACACAATTTTGTTAAGTTGGCTTGCAAATATATTATTGTAGTGTTGTTCCAGTTGCTTTTCAACTGCGTGAAAAATGTAGCCAAAAATAATTTACCGAAAGTAGTATTTATAAGTAACAACTGATTTAACTTTTCGTGAAGAGAAAACGAAAGTGATCAAAATCAATCCTATATTACCCTAACTGAGACAGATTTAAAGGAAAACGCTAACTAGACACATCGCGATGTAACTAGTACGAAAAGCATAATTTGCTTAATAAAATCTGGATATATAAGTAATTTATCTGCTACACACGGCAAAGAGATTGGATTGGACGTTTCATTCTCTAGACTGCATATCGGGCAACAAAACCCAAGGTATTTTGGTTTGAAAGTATATAACAGAGCTTTAAGTTTCTATAAATGCTTCGAAGAAACTGATAGTTTATCTGTGTTTAAGAAAAGAATTAAGCCCTTTTTAACTGATAGGTGTCTCTACTCCGTAGATGATTTTTTTTACATGTATTATTTAAACACTGTATTTTAATGTGATGTGACGTGCTTAATATACCCATATATGTGTTATATGTAGCATCGAAAAGCGAAATATCTATCTATCTATCTATCTAGAGGCAAAAATATGACAAGGTCGAAATTGGTGTTGCTGATCACTAGTAAACAAAGACGTAGTTTGGCAATATATCGACTGTCGTCACCAAAACCAACCAAAGTATATATTTGGAGAATATACAGCGTTATTATACGCCTCGGTTATCGGTTTCTGCTAAACAGACACCCATTTCAATATTCTAATTGACAATTTAACAGTCACGCTAGTCTCAAAATGGACAAGCGGTTACATTCTACTATTTTCGGATTGTTTATTTCAATAACAGTGTATTTTTAGTTAGTTAGTTAAAATTTATTTCACCCAGACCTCCTTGTTGCTAGACGCTTCGTATTCTCTTCACATCTGTTTTCATTCTCAGGTGTCGGGAGCTTAATTCCGTTTAAATTGTATCCGCTTTTAAAAAAGATGCATTATACTCGAATTTAAATTTGCAGCGGACTCACATATCTGAAACCTTAAACCATTAAACTTTCGAAAACTCTGAAGTTTCCTCATAAATAACGTCCGTGTAAATGCCTTCGCGTTCCTCATATTAAATACGGAGTTTAGTTGCGTAATGTAAATTTCCTTGGAGTTATAAGTTGGCATTTAAGATGGTGTCGCGGTTATTACCCCGAAACCATTAAGTATATGCGATCTTGATTAAACAGTTTTTTTTTATTATAAAGTGCTGCTCGCAATGAAACCGAAAAAGAAAATCCTAGATTCCTATTTTAAAAAATAAATAAATAAATACAAAGTTTAATATTTTTTGCAAATACATGAAAAAGAAAAAACGCTGCAATTTTATAGCAGGAAGTAATCTTTAAGTATTTTGTACTAAATACTTGGAACTCAACAACCCAACAAGCATAGTCAAAAAATATATTTGCAATTATTCAAGCATTTTAAAAGTAAAACACTTCCTGAAAATAAAGTATGCGTAAAAATAAAAGAAAAACCCTTCTTTAGTCACTCAATTAAGTACTCTCACAGCTCAGGATTTAAGTTGCGTTTAACAAATTTTTTGCATTTTATTACCAGTGCCTCTTTATAGAGGTAGGGAATTCTAGAGATTACGGAATTGATGCCGAAACCCCAAGACAAAGGTTTCTTTTTTTCGGTAATTAAAGTTTTGCCTAAATATCTAAGTACTATGCAATAACCAATTTTTTACAAAATTACAAAATGTGATCTCATAAAAGCTTATATGTACTTAAGTCATGGGTACAGGACGGAGGAGGTATTCTGAAAGATTTATACTTAAATGTGTACAAATCCATAATAAGATAACTTTATTCAAATATATATTTCAGGTAATCAATTTGTCTTTGAGACTAGGTTGGCAATTATAATGATTTTCCTCCAAATTTTGCTCTAGCAGTGATTTTTTAAACCACAGTTATGGTTAAAGTGAAAAGGATTCACACTAAATCAAAAAATAATTAGAATGTGTTACGCAAAAAATGGAGTTCAAAGAAACTATAGAAAAATTTATAAAAAAATATTTTTGTTAATAGTTTCATGCCAGGACCATATGGTAAGAATGTCTGGGTAGAGTAATGATCAATCTTCTGATTAAGGCTGGGATTAGTTTCATTTTTTATCATATTTTGATCAGATGGTTTTATTTTTTAGCAATGATTTAGTAGAGAGGTATATCTGTCGGAAGAAGAGTTTGGTTAAAATTATCAACAATGAAAATATATTACGCACACTTATATTTATCACAGTTAACACGTATAACCAGTAGGTTCGAAATTGCAGCTACTCTCCTCCCCCCCACCGCTTATCGTCACTTCAGACCAATGCCAATCGCTGCAGCCCGTAGCACCACACAGAATATACACGGGCATCGCTTCTTTCGAATGAAGGCTGCCGTTTACGTGATCGATCACTAAATTCGTTATTGGGATGTTACTGGCCGGATCGCCCTTCCCACTTCCCTTGTAGTAATTCTGTTCCACGTTTATGCCATAATGCAGGACCCCTAAAAAACAAATTAACCGAGATAAAGTTTAAGAAGTTGCATGGAATTCGATAGTAACCATAATAAAAGTAACGGCGAAATTTTGTAAAAAAAATAATGTCATATTAAAACGACTTTGTTCAACTGCTTTTGGTCGCATAATCGAAGAGGTTATAAACTTCATCATTTTAGTTTAAATAATTTTTATAAGCCTTGGTCTCTTTTGAGAGCGATACATCTGTTAATTTGGTTCTTGCTCAAAACAATCAACTAAAGTTTATTTATGAAAAAAACTATAGGTCATAGCGTGTAATTTATGTTATTGAGTGAAATAAAAAAAAGGCGTATTTTCAGAATAGTCAGGAAACGCAACAAAGGCTCCATGTTTAAATCTGTTAAATCATTCGAACATTGTAAGTTTTTAATTATTATAAAAAAATACGGTTTCGTTGGTGGATTTTTTTTACATACGTAAAATAGGCAACAAAATATTAAAATATTAAAATAAAAATAGGCAACAAAATATTGATGTTGAAAACAATTAAAAAATATATACTTAAAATAAGTTAAATTTCTTATCTCTTAAACTCTTGTTAGTAAAAATTTAAAATTCCTCCTCAAGCAATATATAACCAAGTACTCCGTACTTGGTTATATATTGCTTGAGGTAGGCGGAGCTAAAGGAGGGATATGAATATTGTCTCCGTTGACTGATTCCTATATTCGTGACAGGTAAATTTCTGGGTCGCGATTGGTTGCGTGCAAATTTCTATTGATTTTAGGATTTTTCTTTGATAGATGAATGAATGGATTGCATGCCAGAATTTTAGTTTTATCGCATAAGATTTGATGTCCGATTTCACAATAGTATTCGACAACTGCTGATGAGTTTATTTGCCTTACTTTTAAGGCTCTTTGAGCCTAGTTGATATTTTTCGACCGGACTCTCCAATGCCTCATATGCATGAAATGCTGTAAACTTGTGAGATTATTATTGGTTTATATTTCATTGGTAAGATCTATGTTAAGGTCCAATTAAAAAAAATTGGCATATCCAGTTTAAATACTAAAAGTAGTTGTAACCTCCGTACAAATATTTGAAAATCGAAATTGGCTTTCTTTTCCTTTTTAATAACTTGCACAATATAATTTATTCTTATTTATTATTTGTTGGAAAAAAACTTTCCATCGTATGGAATATTATTTACAAAATTTGTATTTTATTTTAACTTAGTTGGAAATGAACGTATTTTATTGAACCGTAAAAAAAACAATCTTACCGTCGAACTGGATGTTTTTGTAGGTTATATCTTTTATTGCTCCATCTCCGGCGTCTCTGTGAGTTTTGATGTGGATGGCGTTGCGCGAGTCTATCACCTTGCTATCTGTGAAGGTGACATTGGTGACCGTGTTATCCTCGACGGATGTGGTGCTAAATCCAACCGATAAACTCAGACCGTGTCCCCCTGTACACTCGAGATTGGTAAAGTACATGGCGTGGCCTTGGTTGACTGCGACGCAGTCATCTTGGTTTTTTACGACGCTGTCCTTGATAACCAGGTTCGTGACGTTTGTCACGTCGAATCCGTCGGTGTTTTTGGCTTCCTTCTTGCTGCCAGTAATAGTCTTAAAACCAACGAATGCGAACAACGTTAGTCGTCAATGAAATGTAATTCTAAATAAAGACCTGAATTTGACATTAGTTTGTTAGACAACGATTTCTTGGACAGTCAGAACTGAATACAGATTTTAGAATTCCGGTTGAAAAGTCAAAAATAATGATTATATTTCAGTTACAAGTAAATAAACGGCGAGTAGGATTTCTATGAGAATTTGGGCAACATCAAAACGTACAGATAATCAAATTCACGATATTAATTCCATATCTACTTTCAGTAACAAATATTCACTTAATAATATCGTCCCCCAAACCATCGATAAAGGCTGTTTCATTGACATACGTATAGATTGGAATTACATAGGCTATGTTATTTATGTTGCTTTCTACTTTCAAATATAAATTTACTTGAATTTCTAAAACATAATATTTAAAGTCAACACCTTTTTGTACACTTTAAGAAATTATGCCAGTGAGAAGTTGGTAAAACTATGCCTTTATTTTCACGTAATTGTTACTAAACTTTATAGAAAATAGTAAAATAATGTAAATAAAGAACAATGTAGACAACAAATACACAAATTTAAATGTTATAATGATCACAATCTTCATTACATTATATCTTTTATTTAATATATAACGCTTGTTGTTATTTAATTTGTGAAAGACAGAAGAAAAATAATTCAGCCTTAAAAAAATCAAAAAACTTTATTATTATTATATCAACTTCATATTGTCATTTTTTTGTTATATCTGGTGATTAAGATTAAGATATCTAAGAGATGATTGAATTTAAACACTTAAACACAATAATGTGAAACAAACATATTGTAATTGGAACCATGTTTATTCAACCCACTGGCATCCAAAGCCAAGTCGTCAAGACAAGTATGCTACTGGGTTAGAGCTCAACTTTTGTTTATATTGGTGGCCATAAATTCCATTAGCAACTTTGAACTTCTTTGTAAATAAGATATCGGTGCTAAGATATCTAGGAAATAATTTGTAAAGATATCACCTGTATAGATAATTTCATGTTCTACAATTTATGTGAGACACATTCCATCGATCAATAAAATTAAACGAAAATTTTTACTTTTAAATATTTTGTTAGAAAACAATGGATCGATGGGTACTTCTGGAACTTTCTATTTCTATTGTTATTTTGTTACTATGCTTAAGTCAAACTTGATGGGGCAATTTCATTTTTTGATACCTTATCTCCGGCAGATATATCGATGTTCCATCCAGAAACGGTGACATCTCTCGAGTTGGACAAAGACGTGCAATGTTTAGGACAGTTCAGGATGTTGATATTTGAAAATGTAGCAGAGTACGCGGCATCGATTTTGAAAAATTTCGGTTTGGAAATGCCGTCCGACCCTTTGCCGTCCCAATAGAGCGCACCTTGCCCGTCAAGTACGTGCCCTAAAAATTAAATGTCTTCCACTAAAAAAAAATTCACCCCTTTCGAATTTCCGTGTAAAAACGTGAATGATTCACCGAAACGAATTTCATCTCGAAATGCTTCAATAAGAGACATACCTGGTAACCAGACCTTTTTAAGTTACTTAATTAATAAATCTCTTTTGCAATTGTCAGTGTTCTACCATAAAAAAATTCATAAATTCAATATATGCGAAAACAATTCAAAACTTACAAAAGAATACTTAATAAAATGTTCCTTTATCAGATCGCGCTCAAGTGTTCAAGTGGCACTTTAGCTTGTAAAATTACTGCAAAATTTAGGTGAATCCAAAGTTAATAAAAGTTTTGTTTCATAATTTTGTATAAAAGATCTTTATTAGTCATTTTGGACATTTTGTATATTGCATTTGTAATGAAGGAAGAGTAAAAAGCAAAAATTGTGTCAAAATGGTAGGGGTATACAAACTGTGTTTCTATGTATCTATGAATGTTATATTTCATTAGGATCTTTTTTGTTAGATATTATTGTAAGGTTTTTGAACTATTTTAGACATTTTTATTTAAAAAGTGACATTGTTCGTATTCTCATTAGTGTGCTGGACCAAGAAATACTCGACATCATTGAACAGGTGTGTATACCTATTTATACCTGATAAGAATGGCAGGTTTTTAAATCCCGAAAAAGACAATAATCATCATCATTATAACAATTAAAAAATGAAATTTTTAAGATGGAAAAGAAACCTTCTGGTATGTATTTTAAAGCATTATATAATTTTTTAGAAGCGCCCTTTATAAGCTTTTTTTTAGTTTAAATTTGGAGCATAAAAAACAATACAATTAAATTAGAACAAAAAATGTTTAGATTTTCACAGTTATTTAACTTTTTATGAACGCTGTTTCGGCAAATACTTATTTGATAAAGGGACGGTATTCCCGAAACAGCTGTCACAAATCATTAAGTAACTGTGAAAATCTGAACATTTTTTGTTCTGGTTTAATTGTGTTAAATGGATTTTCATCAAGTAAAAGCCACCTCAATTCAATAATTAAAAATAATGTACTCATCATACAATATGATTTAGATATCATTCTTATTTTTTCTATATTTCCTTTTTAATATGTATAAAAAAGACTGTTTCATTAAAAAAAATTATACGTTTTTGTGACTTTGGGACATCTGAGACAACATGCATCTCCTTTATCGTATTCTTTTACGGGCTCAATACATCCTAGCGAATTGCTGAATTTTTTTGTTAGCGTTAGCTGTTTTGGCATCGACTTAAATAATTAGTGGACTGTATCAACGTACGTTTTTCCCCAAAACTGAGCCGCTATCATTACCATATTAGGCCGACTGACTGGCCTCGAAAATGTACTGTTGCTGCACTTCGGAATATGTTAAAAATAAGATTATTATAAGCCTGCTCGTGGCTACTTGGCATTAGCAATTGATTTGGAGAACACCACAACATACACTCCTACGAATCAAATATCCTTACCTGGTGCACCTATCACCGTTATATCTTCCCCGCCGATTCTCACCAAAGGACCGTCCCATTCTTCGTAGTCAAACTTTATAGTCCCTTCGAAAGTCAACGTGGCACCTTTCAGCAAGTTTATTTCCAACGACTTACCCGCCGGTACCGTTAAATCTTTGACCGAAAGCTGGCTGCATTTGGCAACGGCGTTGCTAAGTTGACCGAAGTCGGTCACCGTACAGTCCGAATCCGCAAATTTGAATGCGATTCCCCTTTGGAATCCGAAAAGAGCTAAGCATACCAGCACCGCTTCGGACAACATTTTTCCAGTTACCCTGCCACTTTCGATAATCGCATGTTTTTATTAAATTCAATCAGCTCGCTATCTCCGGAAAATGGTCGACAGGAAAAATATTTATTTCAAATTTGTTTATTTAAGTCGAGTGTTTGTTTGCACTGATCGGAATAATGGAATAACTCGTCGAGTCACTTGAGTATGACGCACTATCGAATATGTGCGCGCTAGATAATGGCAGAAAATATTTTGTAAACGTCAAAGTTTTGAACAAGGATTTCATAAAATTTGTTATAAATCTTATCTGATTTCAGAGTGTGTACCTGCTTTCTCAAATTGTAGTTTAATTTACCTTCAAAACGTGCTCCCCGGTATATTTATTATATATTATACTATATATAGCAAACTTGTAAAATTATGTGCCGAGTTTAACTAAATTTTAATAATCCAATCTTCAGTAATTGAATTAAATATGAGGTCAACACAACAAAAACTAGCGAATGTTTTCCTTGACGCCATTTTGACGACGTTAGGCTAGATATATCAAATAAAGGTTTGGTTTACAATAAAGACATGCTACATTTGATTTCACACATTCAAAATAAAGAAAGTATGTAGGTGTATCATTATGTTTTTCTTATGATCATTCCTATACTCGGTTCCTTGTCTCTTGGAATGTATGTATGTATTTCATTTAAAGGACGGTTTAGGCAACAAGGAAACTTCAAAGAACCACTACAAATTTGTCCCTCAAGTCTTTTATTAAAAATAATTAAAAATTTTAATACAAATTCGGCTACAAAACATTTCTAAATAGGAACGTTATTTAAAATAAACATATTTTTTAGGTAAATGATCAAACGTCCCTCCATTAACAGTTAAACAATATCCTAAGCTATTATAAAATCGATTTCTAACATTGCTTAGTTGAAATTGTGAAATCCTGTCATATTGTAAGGAAATAGCGTTTTGTAACTGGTTAAGATTTTCAAAACCCTTTCCAAGTGATCCCACAGAAAGAAGTCATTCGGCGTGAGGTCAAGTGGCCAATGATATTTCCGGTAAAACTAACTATACGGGAATTATGGGCGGGACAACTATCCATCTGGTACCAGATCTCCTAATCTTCGTCAACAACGGTTTCTAGTGCGGGTTCAATTTGATTTTGTAATAATTCCAAATTGGTTTCTAGCATGATGTCCATAAAAAATGGCATAAATTTTAACTATAACATTTATTTTTTGAGGATATTGGTTTCGAGTTCGGCATTGTTTAGGCTAATGTACTGACAGTTTTAAACATTTACTTCGTTGTTGAATGTGAATGTACATTTAACAGCGAAACAAATATTAAAAAAAAAAAACAATAATTATTTGCTTTTCTTCATCGTCTTCCCGGAGATCTTGGTACTTTTCGTTTTTATAGGAAAAAATATTTTTGTCTTTTTACGTAACACTGTGGTTTGATGTTTATTTACAGCTTGTGTAAGAATCTTCGTACTAATTGTTCTGCTTTCCTGAACATGCAGTAAATTGTCCCTTTCTACTGCTCTATTATCGACATTTTCAGCTTAACATTTCCAGTTATTTATTACGGTGCTTCTGGATTCGAACTGAGAAATAATACGATTAATTGTTGAAATCGAAGTTATAGTTATAGCAGGAAAATAAACCGAAAATATTTCACACACTGCTCTAAGACTGCTTCCTGTATAATACCACTTAATTATGGTTACTTTTTTTTCAATTGAATAGCTTTAATTAAATCGCCTTTAATAAAATATAACAGTCACAAATAAAAATATTGTAAGTGTGACGAATTTTCTTCTTGTCATTGTCAAAATGTATTTTACTGGTTAATTTATTATGTAAAGTATGAACATTTTCTAATTTTGCCATCATATTTAATTCAATTACTGAAGATTGGCTTATTATAATTTATTGAAAGTCGGTACATGAGTTAATCATACCGGCCCCTTCAAAAAGTTATAACACAACTTTACCATTAAATGTACAGGGCAGCCAATATTTGGGCACCTAAAAATTAACATGGGATTTCCTATGTTCCGTTCGGCAATGCATCACTCGCAGTGGCGTGCAGTACAATGTATTGCAGGGTAGGCAAGAGGAAAAAAATAGCGCCGCCGGCGAAAAATTTTTGGGGTGCCACTCCCTAATTATGTTTTCCCATAAAGGACATAAAAAATAGAGCGTATAATAGGCAACAGAACCAAAAAAACGAAAAACTCAAAAGAAACGCACATATTACATACAGCACAACACAATACATTATGTACAATGTACGTGGATATATTATAAAATTTACTCAACATATTTTAACTTTAAACTTAAACAATTTAAAAATCAAATAACAGCAAATAAACTTATTATTTATAGATTAATTCAAAACGGCGATTTGTTTTCAAAAACTCTTTCAATACGTCATCATAAAAGTTTGTGGTCCGTTTTAATTCAATTAAAATTGATCGTTTACCTAAAATAACGTGGGACCGTTTCTTACATAGTTCTGTCCCGACTGCTTTCGTGTGTTCATTGCTTGCAGTAACGCACTGCTTTTGCTTGCCCATTTAAATGTAATGTTAAGCTTCGGCCGTGCGTTCGACTTTGAATAATGGGATGCGTTTTTTAGGTAATAATAAGACATTGAACAGATGGCGTTTGTTTTGTATGATGTTTCCAGCTTTGCAATACATTCACTGACAAACGTCAAAATTCAAAGCGTGGCAAATATCTCCGAAAACATTCGATTGCTCCCAAATCCGTACGGTAAAATCCCTGAAATGTCCGAAGTGGCTCGGATTCGTGGGAAAGCAAACTGACGTGGTAAAGTGATGCTTCCCGCACGCTAGATCGGTGGGTAATTAGGTATTTTACAAACGGGAGTAGAAAAATAGATTTTCAATTTATGTTTGTCTTGAATAAACGAAAGGGTAGGCAATGCTTTTTTGCCTACATGTAATGCACGCCACTGATAACCCGGTATATGTCCTACGCACATTTTTTTATATGTACCTTTTTCTAATTTTGTAAGAAACTTCCACAGTCTACTGTAATACTTTTTATAAAAGTTCTGAATTCCTCCTGCGTCAAATTTTGTTGAGTCGAACGTTTCGCCAATCATCCTGTTGGCTTCTTCAGAATCTGACTGAAGACTGGAGGGCGGAGCTAAATGAGGGGCATAAACACCGTCCCAGATGACTGATTCCCATATTTATGGCAGGTAAAGACCTGGGTCCTTACATTCAAAACATCACTAACCACATATCAAAAGTTCTAAAGAAATATAACTCCAAAACCAGATTGACCACTTCTCCAAAAATCTCTCAACATCTTCGATCCGTCAAAGGCAAAATTCCATTTAAGATGCGAGGCGTTTACAGCATTCCGTGCATATGCGACAAAGAATACATTGAAGAGACTGGACGAAAAATATTAATTAGGCTCAAAGAACAAGAAAGAACCTTAGGACTAAGACAAATAAACTCATTAGCAATTACCGAACACTAAAATTCTTGCATGAAATTAATTCTTCTACCAACGAAAAATCCGAGAGTCTATAGAAATTTATAAGCAACCTAACAATCTTAACCTCGACTCAAGTCTTTACCTGTCACCAATATGGGAATCGATCATCCAAGACGGTGTTTATGCCTCTTATTTTGCTCCGCCTCCCTCAAGCAATATAAAAGCAGGTACAGAGTAAAATGCGAGCCAGTTTCAGTCAAGCTTCGAAGAAGCCAACAGGATGATTGGCGAAACGTTAGCTAGTTCGAGTCAACAAAAACCGACGCAGGAGGAATCCGGAAGTTTTATAAAGAGTATATTTTTATACATTGTCGTACATTTCCATGAATTGCTGCTTGGGTTCCAATTTTAGGGACATATTGGTAAATAAAGGTTACTTCTGTTGATTCAGGGAAATTGTCAAACATACTCTGATGTTTTCTACGCGCCGCTAACATGCGACCATACTCGTTTCCGAAGAAATAAAAGGAACGTCGAAGAAAATACTGGCAACTAATACGAGCAATAGGCATAAAATTCAATCGACGACGCGGTCCCCGACTTATAATCCCGTCTTTCCGTCGATGGTTCCTGATCGCGATCCCGCCAGGCGCATGGCGTCCTGCGCGCTGCCCACGCCCGATCGCGACGTCACTGCTGCAGGATCGCAGGATAACACACAGTGTCTGCTCGCGAATATACGGCGTTCGTTTAGTTTTTCGTGCCATCTCGTGTCGATTATTGACTCAAAAGTGGTTTAAATTGATGGCCGCACGTCGCAAACGTCAAAGGGTGAGTACTTGGACGCGATCTCGTCGAGGGTCCGGCAAACTGGGCGAAATTCGGTCGACGCGGGTATTTTGTAAGGAAAGCTTTCGGGGTCTGACGATCGAAAACCCTCCCCCCGCTGCTAGCTTCAATAAAGAAAGCATTTATTTTACATTAAGCGTTAAGCTTGCGAGTTCCCCGAATATTTGCATAAGTTATTTGCCTCCGAGCACCGAGAAACCCGACGTTTGACAGTCGGATAGGAATTGTTCCGACAATAGCAGCTCCAATTCCGAAGGGAATTTTAAGGATCGGGTTCAGGTCTCGAGTTGGAGGTTAGAGACGACAAAGCAGAATCTTTTACTATTCTTTGAGTGACAATGTTAATATCAAGTCCAGTTTTTTTGCGTTTACCAATATATATTCGAAACACTGCTGCTTAGTACTTAATACATTCATACTGCCTCCAATAACAATATTTTAGAAAAGTTTACTCATGATATCGTGAACATAATTAAAAATGTGAAAGCTTCTGGAGTAGATAAGTTTGTATAACTCTCGTTTTATTATATTGCCCTGTAATCGTACCTTCTACAATATGTGGCATTAAAAATGAATGAAGAGGTGAAGTGGAAAAAGTTGTTCCGAATGTTATTCAAACACGAAGCACTAAATTTCGGTTAATACACAAATTGGACTTAGATGACTTGTACTTGATGAAAATCCATTTAACACAATTAAATTCGAACAAAAAATGTTCAAATTTTTACATTTCAATCATTTATGACAGCTGTTTCGGCAACATCATCTCTTGATCAAATACAAAATATGACAACATTCAAGTGTCGGATATATATATATATATATATATATATATATATATATATATATATATATATATATATATATATATATATATATATATATATATATATATATATATATATATATATATATATATATATATATATATATATATATATATATATATATATATATATATATATATATATATATATATATATATATATATATATATATATATATATATATATATATATATATATATATATAACTAGCTGCTCCATTGGATTCTATGTAAAACAATCTCCGTATACGTTTTTTATTATTTCAATAGCGATTAACGGAAAGACGAGAAGTATCGCATGTCGCGACATTTTTAAACGCAATGGGATAAGAAAATTCTGTTGACGGCATCATTCATTTCCCCAAAAATGTAGCACGATGACCCGCAAACCACAACCCAAAAATCCCGCAATGACAACGAATTTCAAACACACTGTACAAATGACAATTTGCCAAATATCATCTCTGGACTATTTCTCCATTTATTCGAATCAGTACAAAAATCGATTGGCGCAATGTCAGGTAAATTCGGAGTCCAGTTTTCAAGACGACTGTTTCTTCCTATCCTTCCTACAATTTTACCATGATACAACCCCACTGGTAGTAAATGTAACTTCGAACAGTAACAGTAACAGCAAACTTAATCTTCTTCTTATTATTATTTTATATTATTATTATTATTATTATTATTATTCTGATTTTTTCCTTTAATGTCAGCGGCGTTTTAATTCGATGATCGCTAAATGGAACTTAATGCAAAAAACTGAAAGTTAAATCTGAATAATATGAATTATGAAATTAATACTAGCCAAAGTAATAACAAAACCAGGGGTAAGAATAATATCCGGAACAGCTTTTTCAAATAATTTGTTCCAATATTTTTAACGTGAATGGAAATATTTTACCGTTTAGTTTCTGTCTTAATTGTCTGAATGAAGGTATTCAGAGCCTGCTGAAATTAGTTTTGTCTGATCGAACTCAGCAAGTGCTTATTAATGAAACGGTATTTTAAAACATCATCTAAATGCTGATGACAGTAACCATCAACATCATTAATTCCGATATATTCAACTTTTTTCATTTGGCCAATGATTATTACTTCTGGTGCCGCGAAAGGTTTTAACTTGGGACCCCTGTTGTTCAATCTCCTCATTAAAGATATAATAGAAGTTAAGTATTAGTATTGGTATGTAACTTTTTTTAGAATAGAATAACCTACAGGAATATATTCTTTTAATTAAGTTAACTTTTTAAATTGCAAAGGACCCCGCACGATTTGTGACCTAAGATTAAAATAATGGAATGTTTTTTAAACTTTAAAATTTTACGTTTAACTTTTTTTTATTAGAATCCAATTAAAAAAAAAATAAGTCTGTTTCAGCCACCTAGGCTTAATTTAATTTTTCTACTAAAATTTTATGACTTTTTTCAGGATAAGTTTTAAACACCTACCTTATGTTAGACAGTCGTGTGTTAAAATTGTAATATGTGTTTTATTAGGCAGTACTTACCTAGCATTCATACACGGGATATAACTAGAAATCATTCTTTTTTTGTCGATATTTTATAAGACGTAACATCCATGGCTTTTTGTACATATCTACATATTTTAATAGACAAAACAATAGGTGTGCTGTATCTCTTGTAAGACGCACTCCTCATAATTTATAGTCTTTTTCTGTTAACCCCTTTATTAAGAAAATCATGCTAATAACGATATCCCATTGCTATTTTTTGTATTTTGTTGTCTTAAGAAATATGTCTTAAATATATTAATTGATAAAAAATCATTAGAAAAAAAAATATGTATATTTATACTGATTTTTATTACATCGGCACCTAATAAAATTAAACGTATAATTTTAAGATTTGGTATACTGCCCATAGCTACTGTCACAGACATGATCTCTACAATATTGCACTATTTTAGTCTTAGGCCCAAAACAAGTAAAAGGTTAACATTTTGCAAAATTTTAGCTTTCACAAATCGCCTATAATTCGCTAGAGGTCCTTTGTTATATTTGTATTCAATATTTGAATATTCAGCAGTGCTTCAAATTTTTTTATGACAACTCAAAAGCAAATTATTACTTTCGAGCCGTTGCAGTTACCGAAACTTTGGAGTTAGTATGTAATATACGTGTAGGTCTTAAAAAATGGCTGTTTTTAAAAAATTGAAATGAAAACCAGTTCCAAGTTAATAAAAGAAATTTGTTCCTCATCACTCGGCACATGTTGGTTAATTTTCAATAGTTCAATATATCCCGTACAGTTTTAAGTTATATTGACGGCGAATTTATTTGCAATATGACGCTCGGCGAAATTCGTATTTCTGAGTCGGTCTTTTGAAATATTACTTTTGCAACCGAAACGAACGCCACCCACACAAACTTGCTAATTTGGGAATTCGGTAGGCGGACCACTCTGCAATATACATGCCGGTCGGTATCTACGAAATGAAGTTCGTAACTTATAAAGCCGAATAATTCAAAGTTGAGTTTTATAAATAAGTCCGCTCTCGACAACGAATTAATCGAAAATTTAGTACCCCGCCATGTAATCTTTCGCCATTTTATTTCGCGACGTGATAAAAGCGTTGAGTCTGTTGGTATTAAAACTTGAGATCGTCGGACTTACTCGTAGACGAAAAATGTCGAATCGTCTATAAAAGATATATAAAAAAGTATATACGAAGTTAATCAGAATGAGACGTGGTCGGTTTGCGATCTTTTATTCTCCGAAACTTCGATTTGAGTGACCCTCGTATAGTAACCTAAGTAAGGATTGCATATTTTTCAAATGATGAAAACTTTTATAATTTCTCTCAGAACGGTGGCAGTTGCTGCCCTATTTCTAGGAAAGTAAAGTGAAATTTACACATTCGATTTCCTCCTATTTCTAATCTCGATTCCTAATCATAAACCTTGTTCAAGGCCTCTTTCCAGAACTGTTTTACCGATTCCCTTTCTCAGCAGCAGGTGCATAAAGATAGTTCAAATGAACACATGTTACCTGGCGACGTAATACGATACGGTGGATGCAGGTAGAGATTGTTTCGTCGCCTGTGACTTATTACGTCGCCACGTACGTGTGTTCGTCTGAACTCCCTTTGTTTAGGTTATGTTCTTCGAAACTCTCTTTTTTATTTTCTTCTTCCTTTCTTCTTTCTTTGGTATTCGTTATGTGGATATGTCTTCATTACGCTAACTGTTGGGTTCTAATGTCATCGATAATGTCACGTTTTATTTCCACGTTCTGTCTCATCGTGTGGTTCAGCATCCTCTCTCGTCTGGGTTTTCCTTTGTTCAAAAGTCTGTCTTCGTGACTCTTTATGTTCTTTGCGTTTTTACTTCAGAGGTCACAATTCAGCACAAACGTGTTGCAACGATCGTCACGCATAAATTCGGGAAAAATAGCTGGTAATTTTATCTGTCAAATTACTTACAATTTGGTAGTGGGCACGTTGAAATATTTCTAAAAAAAATTTAAAATGTATTTACGGGTCTTTGAACTTCGTTTTTGTTACCGATTCTGTGACCCCACATCTGACACCATTCCAAATGCTTATCTGAGATAACGATTTAACTATTTTGATAAAGAATGAATAAAATGGGAACATTAGAGTCGAACAAAAATATTTTTATTATTAACTCTGTGTTTTTGTCCTGAAAACCGCATTAGCCGCCGCTAAAGGTAGTTATAATTAAATGTAATTACCCCTTGTCAGACGGCTATATTAATGCATTCCCTGCTTAACCAATTCGTGTTTTTCGCATAGAATATTCACTGGTCGATCGGCTTTGAATAATTTAACGATTTATCAGTCTAATTGTCAAATCGATAATTAAGCAAAAAACGAAATAAAATAAAACAAATCTGCAAAGGATCAAAACGCCTTTTGAGACTTTAAAGTGCTCAATAGACATGGTCAAGATGGCCAGTTATCTAGAATATCTTTTAAAATTCAGAGGCGGTAAAAATTTTCATTATTTTGACACTAATGTTGATGATTTATTAGCGGTGCAGTAATAATAAAATAATAACAATACTATATTTCTACTCACTTCTGTATAATACCTAATTATAAACCGATCTAGCGTGCAGAATACGTCACTTTACGACGTGAATGTCTTGTCCCACGGATCCAAGCCACTTCGGGCATTTTCGGGATACTACCGTACGGGTTTTGAGCAATCGGATGTTTTCGGAGGTATTTCCCACGCTTCGAAATTAACGTTTGTCAATTCTGACGGTCATGTCAGTGAACATATTCGCGTTGTTTTGCAAAAATTAACGGTGGTAGAAAAACTTTGGTTAGTAAATTTTGCCAGACTTATTGCATAATATACATTTTTCTACTCCCTCTTCTAAGATGCCCAATACACAGATTAAGCATGCGGAAAGCCTCATTTTACGATTCACCGACCGCTGACCACAACGGCTTCAATTTTAACGTTTGTCAATTCTGACGGTCATGTCACAAGTCACTCAATGAATGTTTTTGTGTTGTTTGGCAAAAATGTACCTGGATTATTGAAAAAATATGGTTGTTTTCAAGTTTATATACAGAAATACAGGAAAAAAGATTATATTGCTAGTATGGCTTCATGGGCCCTTTTTTAAAATCGTAATAGTAAATGGTAATAAATGGCGTTAAAAAAAATTGTGGCCCTCCACCAAACAATCAACAAAATATCCAAAGCCATTCAATTTTTTTTAACAGTAGACAAAGAATTATTCGGTTAATGACCGATATAAAATACACGATAATCTAACCAGCGTTCCTCAAATTCCCTTTATTTTCAGGTACAGCCATTCAATAAACTTCGGTGCAGCAAGACGGCCACTCCGCCTCGACCTACTTGTCACCGGAGAAAACATTAACTCCGCAAAATTGCCTAGATATATACATATATTATCAATAAAGACGCCAGGGCCGTATAAGCAGCTTTACGACGTTCAATCCAAACATATCGCGGTGTACTCCGGTTTAATCTGGGAAAGACATGTGGAACATCTCTCGTGCTCACTTGTATAACATTGTTCGATCGATAAAGCGTCCTTTAACTCGCGAAATCCAATTTTAACGTAAAGGAACCACGATGACGCGACTCGGAGCGGCCTTGTGGGCGACCATCTTGCTCTGCCGCACTTACGCTTTCGTATTGGACGGTTCGAAAAATTCCTACTCGCAATTTCGTAAGTGGGGAGGCGGGACGAACGGCTCGTTGGAGTTCGAATTCAAGACTGAACAGCCGAACGGGCTGCTGCTTTACAGCGACGACGGCGGTACCTACGATTTTTTCGAAATTAAGCTCGTCGAAGGCGCGCTAAGACTGAGATATAACCTCGGAGGTGGCGCTCAAATTATCACCATCGGACGCGACTTGAACGACGGTCATTGGCACAAGGTGCAAGTCCAGAGACAAGAGGAACGGACCATGTTGACCGTGGATGGAGTTTCTCAGATGCGCACCTCCAGAGGGAAGGAGTTTAACTTTGGCCGCTTCGCCACCAACTCCGACGTTTTCGTGGGAGGGATGCCGTTGTGGTACAACAGCAAGCTGACCCTGCTCGCTCTGCCCAGCGTCATCTTCGAGCCTCGATTCATCGGATCGGTGCGGAATCTGATCTATTCGGATACGGAGGGAGGCGTTCCGAGGCGACAGGAGACCAGGCCCAAGGACCAAAGGGTAAGTCTCTAATATTAGGCTGTAGTTACGGGCGAATAAGAGAGAAAAGAAGGCACCTAAACGAACGGGCGACCATTTATAACGTTCCCCTTTAACTGTTTTATTTAACGCTCGGGAAAATAAGTTATTCAAAAACTGGTAAGCTATTAGCAAGTAATATTATTATATATACATTACCCACAAATAAAAGTTATAATTTTTTTAACGAAACTCTTAATAAAGCCCATTACATTACATTACATATACATTTCTTGTATAATATGTTCTGTACGCAAATCCAATGCTTTTTAAGATACATGGGCTAGAATTTATAATTTATAAATTAATTTTTCAAATACTATTTTCAAAACTTCTTGACTCCTCCTACGTTTGTTCGAACTTGCTGACGTTTCGCCAATCATCCTGTGGCTTCTTCAGGGCTTAAGTGAAACCGACTCGAGTTCAACTCTGTACCTTCTTAGATATTGTTTGAGAAGCTAAAGGAGGGGCGAAAATATTGACTCGGATTTGTGATCCCCATATTGCTTATAGATTTCTAAAGAGTCTCGGATTTGTCGTTGGTAGAAGAATTGATTGTTTTATCAAATAAAATTTGATATCCGGTTTCTTGATTGTGTTCGACAATTGCTGATGAGTTTATTTGTCCTAGTTTTAACGCTCTTTCATGTTCTGTGATGCTAGTTGTAATTTTTCGTTCGGTCTCTCTTTGCCGCAAAATTTAGATAACCGTTAACGTTTAAACTAAAGTAATGGGGTCCACTGTCTGCTGCTTTTTCGATTTATCCTACTACTGATTGGAAATGATGACTCGTCGGTCCGTAAAACATTTTTTAAATAAGCATCATTTTCGATAACATTGTATGTCAACCCTTTGTTCTCGATGCCTGGGCGTTAATTTTGTGGTAGGCCTAATTTTAAATGCCTTGTATCCTGCTTTTCTCAGAGTGGTTTGACTCTTCCCGTACGATTAATGAATGATTCCTATTTCAGTCTTTCTGATATTTTAATTATGGAAAACTTGGGATTATCTGTTCTTTTTCCTGGCTAGGGTGGATATTTGTTGAAATTTTTCAGAGATTCGATAAATATTTTTTTTTTGCAAGGAAAGTGCATTCGAACGTTAATTAGTTCCCTTTGAAAAAATTTAGCCCTCTTTCAGAATAAGGCATCTTGTAATAAAAAGAACGTAAGTTTTTTCTAAATCTCTAACTGGTAACTGTCTCTGTCAGTTATAAACAAGCATTTTGTTTTTTGTTGACGACCTATTTCACAGTCACCTAAGATATGAATTGTATTAATTATAGAATATTATTTTATTTTTAAATTTTGCTTTTATGTTAAAAGCGCATTTACATCAATAACTATTGGATTTAGATAAAGGAATACAAGAAATATATATAACTTTTATCGGTGGGTGATATCTGCAACAAGCGGTATATATCGAAATATATCTTGGAAATAAATTACTATTTTTAAATACCTTTTGTATTTGACGTTGTTTCCCAAAAGTTAAGCAAGTTAAAGGGAGGGGACATTGTAAATGATTACCCGGTACAAGGTGGTCAAATTTGGATTTCTGTAGTAGGTAGATAATGGTAATTTACTATCTTCTTTTGTTTTTAATTTATATAGAAAAGTTAATTGACACGTTTTTCAGGAACTTTATTGACCTTCTTTTGTTTTCTTGATTATAACTCACACTGCAGATCCACCAAATACGCACTTTGCCACCTTCGCGGTCACTCGAAGTTCCCAATTAGGACCTTTGTTCTTCGCACGGCACATTTTGTTTGTTTATTGAGCAAGTTTAGTAGCGTAAAGTATCATTTTGCGGTATCAGTTTCGTTCGAACATTTCCGGCATATTACCAAACGGATTTGGAAGCAATCGGATGTTTTCGGGGATATTACCCACTGTTGAATTTTGACATTTGTCAATTCTGACGGTCGGTGTATTCGTGTTGTTTTGCAAAAATGTATCGAAAAACCGATGGTCGTAGAAAGAATATATGCAACACGTTTGATAAACTTTCCAAGTCACTCGTTTATTAAACATTGTTTAACATACTATTTTTAATTACCATTTAGAATAAATTACAAAGAATTGCCACTGTACTGCGCAAAACCAGTGAGACGTCGCAGCAACCTAGACTATGCTGTATAATGTTTTCGTTATAGCCCAAAGAAGCTAATAACTAATTAGTTTAAAAACTGAAAATTTCAATAAACAATGAGTAGGTCAAATAATTTATATTTATTTATAAATAAATAAATTAGTATAAAATTTTTCACAAGTATACGACATTATTTTTATAAATCGAACTAACATCACTACTTACTTAACTATAACTGTTTGGTTACCGGAAATTCTTCAGATTCGATTGTTTCTCTACCTGACTCCAACACTTGTGAAAAACAAAGCGGTTGCCTTAAAATTTATGCGTTTTCCAATGATTCCACGTAGTAAGGACTTTTTACTCGCCTTTTGAAATTTCACCCTTATCTAACTTTAATGGTTATGACGAGTTTTTTGTAACACAAAGTTTTCAATTTCTGCGCACCATGATACTCCGTTATGTCGACGTTACTCGAAAAAGTGTTGTTTTCCTAGGCTTTTAAGCCTAGAATTTCCTCGGTCCAAATTGAATCAAATTATGACCGCAGCTATCTCTTTGTTACTTACTGGGTGCGCTTAAGAATAAACAAACTAGTACACAAAACACGTTTAAAATAAATATTATTTTGTAACAAATGTTCTTCAATTTTGGTAGCGTTATCCGTTACAATGACACTAGGGGTTATGCAGTAAGTACATTGACTTTAATGTCAATTTTGAAATTATTTCAATAAATATTAACTGTTACTGTTTAAACTAGGCATTTTAGGGATTACAATTTTTGAAACAATTCTGGTCACGTGAGTGCAATCAATACTCCTTATTACACCGGGCAATTGATTACAAACTTGCAATTGCTTCCCACCATTCTTTTCTTCATCTGTTTCAGGAAACTTTATTATGTGACCAAGAACCTCAACTATACTCCTGACAAACATCGGCTGATAACGTCTAATGCAAGCGTGTTAAAATGTTTTGCCCAATACTTCTTTGGTACGACCCTTCACACAAAAAATGTAGTCACGCGAAAAACTCAAATAATTAAAAATTATGATTTCTATTAGCGATTGAGGTTTTGTTGTTCACCTTTAGAACTTTAGTGTCCTTGCTGCATAGTAGACAATGTAGAAACAGTAGAAAAATGGCCCAATTCTCTGGACAACCTCGCTGTAAGTTTAAATCACTTTGAGGGCCATAAAAATGTATCAAAAACAAATTTGATAACTCGGTACTGCATATTATTAGTTAAAAAAATATTTAATTTAACATTTACCTTTGAATTTCATTTTGAAACAATTCAACAAACAAAACTGAATTCATTGTGTTGATTAGCCATAAAAAATATATTTAGGTTGTGTTTCTTGTTGGAAAATAATTTCATGTTTCCTACCGAGCTAGTTTTCCTGCTCGTTAGAATTATTGACATTTTTTCAACCTTGACTGGGAATTATTTCAATTTTTTTCCTTAAGGTCTATGAATTATTAAAATTTACGAGGTCTCTTGACCTCCTTCAATACCTTGAAATGTCTGCGTACCAAATTGAATTGAAATGTCAAATGGCGCTGTTAAGGGTTCCAATAGGGTCGAACGGTTCAAGGTTGGCTTAACCCTTTTGGGATGCGAAATGGTAAAAAAAGCGAACACGATAGGCAACGACCCACTCTGAAGACTTACCGCAGGCTATCGTGTCGTCGGTTCCAGACGGGGCCCCGTTTATTGCACTCGCGCTTGAAACTCGCGGACTTGCGGAATCGGCTCTGTTTCTGGCGCCGGACCATGCGGAAGTGTCTTTTTGAATCTCAAATGTCAAAAACTTCGTCTTTTTCCTGTGCGGTTGAGCACAAGCCGTCACATGGGCAACGCGGGTTTGAGAAACTGGGTGAAGGCGCAAATTTAAATTACCCATCCCAAAAGGTCTCTAACCCGACTTTTGAAAATAGAAACAATGGATTCTGAACAGGCGCTTTTACGTCATAGTTGCAACCTATGAATAAATTTTTGGTTTTTGGGTTTATCCAGTAACAATAGGGCGTAACGTATGGACGCATTTTTTGGGGAAGGGTCCGGGCAAAGCAACGATATACTTTGAGACACACGAGAACAAAGAAAAATGCTAAATATGTTTGTGATGGTATAATTTTCGACATTCAGGGGTGTTTTTGGATGTCTGTGTCAGTTTTTGAAATCTTGCGTAATACCAATTGAGTTCTGCGATAACCCATAACATTGTAATGTGATCTTTTTAACTATTTGCTCTTTTCTTGATCGAAGCGGAATAGTTGGAAATAAGGCTTGCTGGCTTGAGCGCCATGCAGAAAATTTCGCAAAATTAATGCAAAAACTAATCTATCGCACTTATCTACGTCATATTCCATTAAAACGAAGCGTGTTTTTATTTTAGCTCGTTTCGCAAAAACCGCAAGCGGGTAAAAGCTACTCCGGGGCGTTTTGAATTATTGATTCGATGTTATCTCAACATGACTCTCTCAAAACACAGGGCAAATATTGATCTTGTGCGTTTTTACGTGATCAGAAGTTTTGTAAAAAGACTATGACTATGCAGAAAAGAAGTTTTTATTTTTTTTTAATTTCGGATTGAAGAAAAAATTTAAAAAAAAATTTCTTTAGATATGATTGGGGATTTTAAGAATAATTTGTCTTTAAGAAAAATTAATGGCGCACCATCAAATTCTACCAAAGTAGACATGTGTGACTGGTCTATTTAAAAAAAATTGTGGTATTCTAAATAATGACTATTGGCACATAGTACATGTGTGTTAAATTTCATTAAAATTACAGATATTAAAAAATATATTTTATTTTTGAAAACTTTACCACTCTGTATTTCAAAAGTTAAGACGTTTAGCACATATGTTCATATGAA